GGACAACAATGAAGATTCCCCAATTCGGCTGGCATGCAGCACCTTCCCGGTTAGGTCTGCATCGAAGCTCACCTTGGGCGGAGCCGCAAGGCTTTTTATCCTAAACTTTAGAGTGTTATGCGCTGTAGAATGCTACATGCCATCCAAAATGGTTAATTGGTCACACCTGCTGTTTGCAGGTTTCATGATGATCAGTTCCACTGTTTATGGTATTCTCCTGCATTCCAAGGCCGTACCATCCTAATCAGCAACTGCCTTAGAATAACACATTTTTTCATGCCGGAGAGCCTCAACTGGGTCTTACAGAGGCCCTGTTCTTAAGGTCTTCCCAGGAGATATAGGAATAGAAGGAGCAATTGTGTCACACTACCTTATCTCCTCGATATACAATAGTCTTCCAGTGGTTTTTCTCTATAATCAGCCAGAGCAGAGCTTTGCCTTGGATGTCTCGGTGATTATGCCTTTTCACCCAGAGTGCCCTGGGCCTGGATGCAGCATTGTTCCAGGGGAAAGTGCCAAAATGAAAGGCTCTGCAGGTTTGGGTGAGGCTCCAAGTCCCAAGGGCCACTGCCACAGCTGCTTCTGTCCAGAAGGGTGATCAATCCAAGCCTTATGAGTGTGTCATCAAAGCAAGACTTCTGCTCTTCCCAGTCACCGCCTCCCGCAGTGATAGTGATGAAGTGAAGTGATGAAGAGAAGATGAAGAGACAACAAAGCCCCTGTTGCTAAAAGCAAAGTAGCCCAGTCCAGCCAAATTTCTCTGCTTCCTAACTTTCTTGGGTACTCCCACCCTATTCGGCAGGTAGATTGCATCCTCTCTTCCCAAGCTGCAATGTGTTGTTTCCTAAGATAGACGACAGTTGTGAGATGTTAAGGATTGCTTCACCGATCTAACAGCATGTGTGAGACGTTTTGTGTGTGCATGTAATATCTGAAACACATATGCAAGGCAAATGCATGCCTCTTGCAGGGTTTCTGCCCAAACTGCCCACCCATTTGACTTGTCTGGGCACCGCAGGAGAGACTCAGCAACACGTAGTCCTCCTGCAATCTCTGCCATGGTATAGTGGGATTTTGTGGCTGTACACCCATTTTATGATGAGGCTTCTGCTTATTGCAGTGGCCCTGATTTTGTTGTGAAGCAGGGCAGTATGATGACTTGAATAGTGGCAGTGGCCTCAGCCTGCCACACTAAATTTCCAAGGCTTCATCATGCTTTCATGTTTCACCTCCAGCAAGGGTTGGAGCAGCTCTTAGCAGGACACAGAAGGTCAGTCCTCCATTTATTGACCAGGCTGGCTGAACAGCCATTTCTATGCAGCTGTGAATAGCTGCAGCAAACTTTTACAATTTTTCTGCAACAAATCAGCCCATATAACTGTGCAGCTATGAACAGCTTTGCTGCAATATCTCTGCTACTAGTCTGGTGTGTCAGAGAGTTAAATCTGTGTTTCTTCCCCCTCCCCACATCCTTTGAAGAAAATGGTGCCTCTTTAGGCCTTCTCAATTACCCTCTTCTCCCTTTCATTTCTTTCCCAAAATTACATAAAATAAAAAGGAAACTGACAATTATAAAAATGTCTATACAGAAGCAAGTCCCATTGATTCCAATGGTGCTTACTTCCAAATAAGTATATATAGTGGATGCTGAGGAGGTGTTCTTGAAATCTTGTTTAAGGTAGCACCGGAGGCATGGGCTCTCCTGTTGATTTCAAATCTAGGCTTTTTGATGGAGTAGGGGAAGGGAACATAAAGTGGGCACTGCAAAAAATAGGAGAGAGGAAACATTCTCCAAATTCAAAACCCAGATCAGTTCCTGTCGCTCCCAAACTTCACTAAAGGAATGCCAAAAATCTAGAAAAGTGTGGAATTCTGGAATTCTGGTAGGCTAAAGAGAAAGAGAAAAAAGATGAGAGAGGGGACAGGTGGAGAGAGTGTCCAAAGAAGCTTCTTTATGTTGACCTGTGTACGTTTTCCAAAAGAGGTATTTCACAGTCCACGCAAGAGGTGGGCACAGGTAACTGTCTGAACATGGGCACAGGTGTTGCCCATGATTAAAAAAGGGCTCTGGAATAGCCCATGTTACCTTGCAAAACACCTCTTGCAAACACCCACTATGCATTAGTGGGTGGCACAAAAGGGATTGTGCAAAATGCACTGACAATACTGCATCAGAAGATACTTCCATTTGCTCACATGTGACTGGAATATGACAACTGCATTTGAGAGTAAAATTCCATAATGGCAATTATTTGGAAATTACAGGGATGTGTTTGCTGTCTCCCAGTCACATGCATTGAAAAGGTATTTGTGGCTGGAATCTAGGATTAACTCTGCCTAGAGATGTTAGAGAGATCCACAGTGGGTTCAAATAAGTTTGGATTTCTATGAATCTGACCCACAGTTTCTGCAAAAACCAAAAAAAAAAAAAAAAAGCCCAGCCTTTTTTGAGTCATGCCGATTTGTAGAAATTTTAACAACCTTTTTGTGGGGGGGGGGGGGGGGATTGGCACACACCTGCAGTTGTGCTGGAGGGAAAAAATCTTGTATATCCCATAAAACACCCAAAATCCTACTACATCAGTCAGTAGGCAATGGAACAAACAATGCCTGACTATCTGTGAAACCGGTGGAATGGATTTAACAAAAGCCATACATTCTTGCTCTCTGCCCATGGCAACTATGCAGACTTCAGCAAACATGCAATGCATACTGGCCATAAAAAGGGCTAGCCACATAGTAAGGGCAATATGGGGGGAACAGGGCAGGACACGAACTCGCATAAGCAGAACACAACAGGTACGGCTCACAGCAAACTTAAGTTATATCCCTTATCATCTTGAAAAATACAAACTCCTTCACTTAGGATCAAAAAAACCAATGCACCACTACAGGATGGGGAATACTTGGTTCAACAGTATTGCAAATGAGAAGGATCTGGGGGTTGCTGTAGATCACAGGCTAAGTATGAGCCAAAAATGTGGTGTAGCTGCAAAAAGATGCTATTTTGGGCTGCATTTAACATCGGTATCACCTCCAAATCACATGAAGTACTAGATGCCCTGTACTCAGACTAGTTTTATTTATTTGTTTGTTTGTTTGTTTGTTTGTTTGAACATTTCTATGCCGCCCCTTGCTGAAGCCTCGGGGTGGCTTACAACACAATAAAATACAATACAAAAATAACAATATAAAATTAAAATTAACAATATAAAATAAATAAAAGATATAAAAGAAGTTATAAAAGAAAAGACTTCATCTGGAGTACTGCATCTAATTCTGGGCCCCATAGTTTTAAAAAAGATGCAGACCAGCTGGAAAGGGTTCAGAAGATATGATAACACCCTACAAGTAGATGCAAAGCTGTCACAAAGAGAATGGACAAGATCTCTTCTTGTTCATTCCAGACAGCGGAACAGGGAACTAAGGGCTTGAGATAAAAGAAACCAGGCTTAGGCAAGACACCAGGAAGAATTTCCTCACTGTCAGAGCAGGATGGCAATGGAAACTATTACCTGGGGAAGCTGTGGGTTCTCCCTCACAAGAGACATGCAGACAGTGCCTGGACGGTCATCTGAATGGGATGGTGAAACCTGGTGTCCTGCAATAGCAGGGGCTTGGACCCAATGGCCTTCTGGCCTCTTCCAACTCTACTATCCTATGTTCTAAGGGAGGGGAGAGAGGATCATGCCGAGCCTCTCTTCAACACTTAAGAAGGGAAATTACATATGGCAGCAGCTTGTAGGCAACGGTGCAGTGTTTAATGTGGAAGTGCAAGCACAGTCATCCTTACAGTCCCTTTAGTCCTGCCCCCAAGGAGAGGCCAACAGTGCAGACTTACGCGTGCCTTCTGTACAGTAATGGGTCTTAATTCCTCAGCCAAGCTCAGACCCAGAAGGGTTAAACTCACACACGCAACTGCTTGTTGCAATTGTCTGAACCCACCTAAAGTAGCTGCCAGTTCTGGTGTACCAGGAGACTCCTTGGGAGGGGACTGAGTGGGTTGCCTTCCTCAGCAGTTGATATATAAAGTGCTCCAGAACTCTCATTTTATAGAAGGATCATTGAGTAAGTGGGTGCAGTGGGAACCAGGCCCAGTGTTTCTCTGAAAAGACCTGATTCTTGCCTATTTCTGGGCAAGGTGTTAGAGCAGGTGGTGGCAGGACAACTCCAGGCACTCTTGCATGAAATGGAATATCTGGACCCATTTCAGTCTGGCTTCAGACCCAGTTATGCTACTGAATCTGCCTTGGTTGCCCTGTATGATGACCTGTGCAGGGAGAGACGGGGGGAGTACGTCCCTGTTGGTCCTCCTGGACCTCTCAGCGGCTTTCGATACCATCGACCATGGTATCCTTCTGGATAGGCTTGTGGGATTGGGAGTTGGAGGCACTGCTTGGCAGTGGTTCCACTCCTACCTGACTGGCCGACTCCAGAAGGTGGTGCTGGGGGACTACAGCTCTGTGCCATGGCAGTTGTGCCATGGGGTTCCGCAGGGCTCTATTTTGTCCTCCATGCTACATGAAACCACTGGGAGAGGTCATTAGGACGTTTGGGCTGTGGTGTGACCAGTATGCTGATGACATCCAGCTCTACCTCTCATTTACATCTACTCCAGGTGAGCCGGTGGCTGTGCTGAACCAGTGCCTAGCCAAGGTAATGGGCTGGATGAAGGTCAATAAACTGAAGCTCAATCCAGGTAAGATGGAAGTCCTGGTGGTGGGCGGATCATGGTTTCAGGCAAGTTACTTTGACCATGTCCTGGACGGAGCAGCACTCCCTCTAAAGGACAGAGTCCGCAGTTGATATAAAGAGTGTCAGAACTCTCATTTTATAGAAGGATCATTGAGTAAGTGGGTGCCAGTGGGACCCAGGCTCAGTGTTTCTCTGAAATGACCTGATTCTTTTCTAATTTTGGTTCAGATTAAACCACCCTCTAGCACAAACTTTTTTTTAACAAAAGGTTGACCTGTGAATTTTTTTCTGTGTTTTCTACAGAAAAAGTCTCAAAGCCAGGAGAGAAGTGGAGAAGCCTCCAATGAGACTCCACCAAAACTGCAAAATGGTAAGGTGCAGATTTCTAGCATGCCTAAGCTCAGATTCGCGCTTCCGACTTCGGCACCAGTTCTTTTCTGGAGGGAGCCCACAAATAGTGCATGCCTGCATCCTAACTCCCGCTAGCTCTGGCAGACATCCAGGGAGAGTCTTTGGAATTCAAATCCTCCCTTTGCCTTTCTTAGTCTTGTTGCCTAAAATGAAAGCTGACATTTGGGTTAAATAAATGCATAGAAATGGCATGGGGGTGGGCATCAGCCAATGACAATCAGGAGAGCCATCTTTTCGACATGCACTTTCTTCTTCCCTCTGAACAAGACAATCTGCAGGAGGAGGCAAAAACAGAAAAGGTGGAGCTGCTGGAGCAGCACTGCAGGGACAGTGGCCACCCACAAGACCACCAGGAAAAAGGGGAGTGCCTCAGCGAAGCTCCCCCAGCCGAGGTAGGAGGACCTCCCCAGGACACCCAGAGGGAGACTCCAGTTCATTCTGATTCCGGCACTGGCTTGGTTCACGCGTCGTGACGAGCCCTTCCTTGGATTGTTTACCATTATCAGTCTGCCATGTTGTCTGAACCGCACTGTAGCATTTCAGCATGGCAGGCTTCCCCTTAGGAAACCAGGATCACAAGCAGGGATCTGTTCTATGGTTTCTTCACACCACAATGTCAGGGCTATCCCTCTGGGCCTTTTATTCAATAAAGAAATAAAAGAGAAGAGGATGTTCCATATTTGTTAAAAGCCAACTCCTTGAAGTGAAAATGCATCTCCTTGCTTGCTGCTGCCCACTTTACTTTTTGAATGAGTTTAGATGCCAGAGTCTGACTGACACAATGCTTGTGCAAGGGCACTACCTGGAATGAATGCACATGCATTTAGAACAGCCAGGCTGTCCTGGAAGAAGCATGAGCATGGACATGAGAATTAAGTGTGCATACACCATTCCTGAAAAAATGAAGAGCACCACACACTTCTTTTGCCATGTCATCTTGGGTGTAGGTGAGATCACATGTGTGGCATTATGTACCCCTGTGTAAAATGTAAAGCGGTGTTGAGGGACCTCAGGTCTGGGGATCAGGTCCACTCCTCCGGGAGGCAGTGAAAATAGACAGCCCCGACCCTTTCCCCAACCATTTCTTGTTTGGTGGCTTCCTGGACGTGGCTGGCTGGCAAAAGCTGGGAGCTCCAAGATATTTTTCCTGCCTGAGCAGACACCCTTGAGCTACAGTGCACTGGAATATGTTGCTCTGGGCTTGGTTTGGGGTGCTTTGACCCCATCCCTTTGAGCCCCCTGCATTCAGCCGCACCTGCCCCCAAGAGCGAAGAAGAGGCTCCCAGCTCCCGATGAAAGGCGAGAATGCACAGGGGCCAGGCCAAAGATGTGAATCAAAATAGCAGCTTTCCAGTGAGTGCTGAAAAAGCATTAGACTTTTCCTGGAGATGGTTTGGTACTGATCGCTTGTTTGGAGAGTGAACAGCTACACATCAGATGAAGAGCTCGTGTGTCCTTTTATATTTATACACACATATCTGCTCTATTCAGATTAGGTATATACACAGTACAGATTCTCCTCTGACAGATTTCTGGCAGCAGGTTGCTGGGGATATGGTGCACTCTTGAGAGAATTCACAGCATATTTAAAGAAACAAGACTTTATTTTTATCCCCCTTTTGCCCCATACTATATGCACTGGTGACTACACAGTGGAACATGTCAGTTTTAAAAGAGCACAAGCATACACTGAGGACTTTTTGAAAGATCCTGGCATCAGGGTGGTGTTCCAAGGAGCTTTGAGGTTCCTTGAAAGCCTGTCAAGGGATCCTCCATGAAAACATCAGTAATGGTGAATAAATTTCCCTGAAAAACAGTTTGCCAGTGTGGACAATCCTCATAAGCTACGTACATATTTAGGAGAGCATCTCAGATGTATTCAAGGGCAGTGGTGTGCAGAATAAAAGCATTTCTTCTGCCCATCCTTGCCCAGAATATTTTTTTTCTGATAAAAAGCATTGTTTCCATGATGCATGCACTCCTATCTTCCAATCATCTCTAATTAAAGGGGAATGTAGGGGTTTTCTCATGCCTCAAAGACCTGTCAAACCCAAAGGCGATAATGGCCTATTGGGTGTACCACACTAAAGGATGCTTCTGACAACTTTCCTTCAAGCCTCGCAAAGATGATTGTCTGTCCCCAGCCTGAAACTATACATTGCTCAGACTAGGTATCATGCAGTCTGTTGCTCACAGAAGAGGCTGTGTGGTGTAGTGGGTAGAATGCTCAATCCCTGCTTGACCATGAAACTCACTGTGTAACTTGGCAACAGTGGTGGGTTGGATATATAGTAATTTTCACAGTTGTTCCTAGGAATTAGTATAGACTTGGGGGGGGGGGGGGGTTGCAATCTCTACCTCAGTGACCACACGTTACCTTCCAAAACTGGGAAGCCCTATTGACTCAGGACACTACAAATATTACATAAACGAGGGGTGTTAACCATCAGGAATGTGTGCCCAATACACCCATCCTGGGGGGCGAGTGCAGCCCTCCAGGTTTCCCACAAGGTCACTCCCCTTCCCTTGGCCGCACCACACCCTCTTTTCCCAAACTACTGATCAGTTAGTGGTTTCCCCTCTTTTTAATGCATTTTTCCTCCACAACAGTAAAGATTGAGATGCCTCTCCTAAGGCTTTGTTGTAGATCAGGTGACTGACAGGAGAAGGGCTTCGAGGAAAAGGTGCGATGGGAGGAAGAGTCAGTCCTCCACACAAATTATAAGCAGCACATTGAGGTATCATTATGCACAAAGGAAGGTACGTAGCTGCTGAAGATGGCTATTCTTCTAGTTCAATGTGCACATTTGCTTTTCTAGGATTATGGAAGCCCAAGCCACTTCTGGGAGCAAGAAATTGAGTCTCCACTTTGTCATAGAGACAAAGAATGTATACATCCGTAGCTTGGAGAAAAAGCTCCTCAACCTGGAAACAGTGGTGGGTCAGATGTATTAATTTTCAGTTGTTCCTAGGAATTAGAAGAGACTTGCAAGGAGTGGCATTTATTATCTAGACAAGGGGTGTTCACCATCAGGCATGTGTGCCCAACACACCCTCCCTGTGGGCCCAGTGCAGCCCTCCAGGTTTCCCACATGGCCACGCTCCTTCCCTTGGCCGCACCCTCTACTACTGATCAGTTGCTGCTTTCCCCTCTTTTTAGTGCTTTTTTCCTCCACAGCAGCAAATATTCAGATGCCTCCCCTAAGGCTTAGTTGCTGGCAGTAAGTGCTAGGCTAAAATCTCGTGGCGATTTGGGTGATTTTGGCTCCACCTCCTTGCACTGGCCCTGTCCACCACTGTAATGTGTCCTTCAAATGGAATTCAGAGTTTGTGTTGAAAGGGGTGCGAGGCCCCTCTTTTCGACTCACCTACTTGCTGTGGTTTCCTGTAGAAGACAAAATGTTGTGCTTCAAGGCTGCAAGAATGAGGCTTCAGTGGCCTCCAAAGAAATCTGTTACGAGTTGATTTTCCAGTGTACAACTCTACTTCTCAGTATACAGCTGACACTGTACGAATGTGTTTGAAAAGAGGTTTCCATATGAACACATTTCCTCCAAGATTCCGACTCCTTGCATCTCCAATATCAATTGGGAAGATTTGGGGATGGTATTGTAAGTACCATCTTCTGCTCCATTGATCTTATGGGTTCTTACATCACAGATGGAACAGAACTTCACTCTTGAAGCTAAGATAAATACTCTGCAACAAGAGAATGAAGATCTCCAAGCACGGATGCAGAACCATGCAGGAATGACAAGGTAATAGCTTCAGCTGAATATTTCCAATACGCCTTGACTTTGAGCTGCTTAATAATATTCTTTTATGTGCATTAGCCGTATGCATTTGCATAAATATAAATCAGCATACTAAGATCATAAAGATAAAGCATATACATCTCCCCCTCACACACAAATTTAAACAAGTGAGTCTGTAAAAATTACAGTTTTAATATCATATTTGACCTGACTTAATTGTTGCTGCTAAGAATTTAGCTGACTGTGCCATCACCTGTTTATCCCAGTCTGCAAGAAGAAAAGATATGGAAAAGTTGGATGAATAACCCCGCTTAAATAGCAAGGAGCAAATAAACTCTTTACAAGCATCTCTGCAGGAAGAGCAAAACAGCAGTACATGGGCAAATGTTTCAGCGCTACCACCACACGGGCAGACATGAATCTGTAATAGAACTCCTCTGAAATGACCCTCAGGTAACACTGGGGCCATGGCATTCAGCCGGGCACATGTAAGGCTCAACTCTGTAGCACTTGGACATTTTTCTGCAGAAGATTTTCCCCCAGTAGTATCAGTAGCATCCAGATCAATTAAGTTAGTGCTATAATTTTCTATCATCCGAGGGCTTTTACCATAATCTGGAGTACAAAGCCCCAGTAACAGGGGCAGAGCACAGTTCTCAAAGACTCCTACCACAGGTATGTCCATCTCGGTTAGTACATCTTTGAATCATACGCCCATTCCACTAAGCCCTTTCAGTGAATGTGATCCCTGCATGAGCACGGAGGCCATTAAAATAGAAATACTCCACAGATATCACATGAACTAGGGTAAGAGCTCCTGGGATAGCAGTTTCTGAATGACTGAACAAGTGCAATTTATGTTTGCATTGTGGTACAAACCCCACTGGTTTGAGAAAATTCAACAAAACTAGTTTCCAGCCATAATCTGATGTAAAGCTGCCCTGTAAGGAGCTAGATTTCGGTAAGACATGATCCTGTGAGTTCTGAATAGCATGCTTCCATATTGGGCTGGTGTTAGTACAGGAGTTTGAATGAGGTCCGTCTGCATTACTGGAAAGGCGATCACATTCTTCTGGGTTTATCTCCTTGTTTTTAACATTTTCTGCTTATTTGTGATACCCCTTTCTCTACCAGCATTATGCTTTTCCCAGGAGATAGTACGGTGATATTATTGTCTTTCCTATTTTCTTCTCAAAGTTTCAATGGTATGGGACAGCCAGTTGATGCTTCTTGGTATTCCACAGCAACGTAAACTCTGCACAGGCCATAAATGCACCCTGCTTTCTTGGCAGCCATTATCAAGGGCATTTCTTGGAAAGGGTTTATTCCAAGCAGACTGGTGCGCCATCATAAATGTGCCAGTGTCAAGGGAACTGTAAATCTTGGTAGGTTCTGTAAGATGTAGTTTTGCCATGTTTGCCTCCTTTGCTTAAAATCCTCTGAAAGCTTTCACCTTGAGCTTTCAGCTCCAACTTGAAGCTGAAATTGCCTTGCTTCCATTTGCTCCCACTGTGATGTGTTTTTCCTTGTGTTCATATGGGAAAAGCGCACACCCAAATGTTCACTTTTCCCCATAGACTATGGCATGACAATGCACATTTGGGGGAGAAAAGTCGCCTCTTCTAAAATGCACACTTTGTGAATGCCAGTGGAAGTTTGGGAATGTGAGAAAAGGCGCTTCCCTTCACAATTGCAAATGGGACAAATCTGAGTAAAAAATGGATTTCAACACTATTCTCATCCACCCCTCCTGGTAAAGAACACGTGCCTTTTTCTCCCTTGCCAGTTAATGCTGCCATGTGTTTTCTTGTGTGCTGGCTTTGCAGGCAACTTTCTGAAGAGCTCCTTGCACTTCGTGAGGCCCTGGAGAAGGAGACGCAGCTGAAGGAGCAGGCTTTCCGGGAGAGGGAGCAGCTGCTCTACAGAGCAGGAGGAGCTGCCGAACAGCGAGGCCGCCCGCTCCCCTTCCTCGTGACCTAACACCTGAAGGGCCGGAGAGGTGGGGCAGGGAGAGATGATGAGAAGACCTTGCTTCTCTCCTGCCCTTCTCTTGGCAGCTCGGCTTAGAGCTTAGCATGCAGTGACACTCGGGGGTAAAGAGGCTTCCTGAGGTGCCGCATGCCTTGAGTCGCTCCTACTGATGGCCGCAGTATTAGGACACTTGAAAAGGTGGGACTGTCCTGCTTCAGAAGGAGTGGTGCCCTTCCGCCACCTGCCCACTCACCCAAAGGAGGACAGCCTTGATGCTGGCCAAGGGACAATGTTCGACCTCTTTACATGTCAGTCTATGCAAACAAGCACTGCCTGGAGGCATTCTGCCCCACCCCAAACCAGGGAGGCCCTAACATTACCTACCTCAGATATTAGACCACAGGGGGGATGGCGATGCTCCAGTTACCCTCAGCTAAGTCCTTCTCAAACTGTGGCCACACACGAGAAGCAGCCATGGACACAGGAATGAGGATACTAATTGCATGAAGCAGGCCAGTCCCAGGAGCCGAATGTAACCCTTCCAGAGTGCTGGTCTGGTTCTCCAAACGGCTACACCCTCTTCCCCTGCCTGCTTGATGGTTCAGGGGTTTCTGGCCTTTTGTGCAGGTTTTCCCCATCCTAAAATCCAGCTATTGGGTTGAGGCAGAGCAGCAGCCCTGGGCTAGATCTTGCAGGGGTAAAGTTAAATTTCCGCAGCTGCACTGATCTGAGCTGAAAGAGCTAGACCCCAGCTCAGCCATTTTTGGGTTCCTACATGCAATGCTTGGGGGAGTGTAGACAAAGCAGAGACTGGAACTTTTGTAACTGACGTGTGCCTTAGTCTCTGCCACACAGAAGCCTCCTCTCCATGACCAGCTTCCCTGTGGCTGGAAGAGGACTTTAAAAAATGGCTCAGGATGAGCAGAAGGCCGGACCACTGCAGGGCACCCTCACCATGATGCTGGCTGGCCCCTGCTCACCTGATTCGGTCATTTAACCATCAGCATGACTGCATCAGCACAGCATCTTCCACACAGCGGGGAGAAAACTGGAAGAGCATTTCTTCCAATGCCGTTCCTTCCAGAAATGACGCCATTTCAACACAACGTATTCTGGCTGTTCAGGCAAGTTTTTTCTTTGTCGCATCAGGTCTGTGACTCAAGAGCATTTGGGTGGAAATCCAAGGGAACTGATTTTCCTTCTATTCCATTTTTGTTTTTGAACCTGACTGACTGTGGCTGTGATGAGATGCTGCTGGGTACAAAGAAACCAGTATCTGTGTGACCAAATCAGAAACACTACTATTGGAATGTGTAGCTGCAGGCATATTGCAGTGGTGCAAAAAGAAGCCCTTGGGTTGAAACAAAGTGGGTGCAAAATGTATGGCTCTGATCAAGAACCATTTTATACTGCCTGCTCTAGTGAAAATGGTGTCCATCTGGTGCCATCACCTGTTAAGTCCAGTCTGCAAGAAGAAAAGATATGCAGTAATCAAGCAACCGGTCTTGACTAGCAAGAGACAAATAAACTCTTTACATTCATCTCTACAGAAAGAGCAAAAGTGTAGTACGTGGGCAAGTGTTTTAATACTATCAGCACATGGGAATATATGGTTTTGTAATGGAACTCCTCTGAAAAGACCTTCAAGTAACATTCAGCACTGGTGTGGGGAAGGACTTGTATGGAGCTAAAGACTCTGAAAACAGCCCGTAGGGTTTTCTGAATTCATTTCTCCTGTACAGACTCTGTGCAACCGTTGTGTGTGTGTTACACCTTAGGCAACCGGAATGTATTGCTGTTCAGTACATGCCACAAATTGTTTTGTTTTATAGGTTTATAATATATAAATCTTTCTGTATTTTTTCTTGAAACAGCTTAGATCAGGGCAGTGGCAGCAAACTCTCTTTTATTCATCAAAATGGTGCCATGATAGTCATGAATGTGAAACGGCATGTGCTCCAAGTATATTGATCAATGTTACAACTTATTGTTCCTTATGCACTTTAACATATCAAGAATATTGAAGCCTTTGTAACTTCCGAAACAGAGGAGGCAGGGGCAGAAAGGAAATATTATTTATGTGCTGCAGAACGGAAGCAATATTCAAGGTTGTCCAAAAGCTCAATACCGTGTAAGACCATCAAGTCCAAGGGCTAAAATTACCTAGCTGCACCTCTGATTCCGGGAACTGCTGGTTCTAAGCTCTCTCTTTTGATTATAACTAGCTACCTGTTTGTCACAAAAAAGCCAGAATATTACAGGAGTTTTCTGCTGCTCATTACAAACACGCTGCTATGAAATGGCCGCAATAATATACTTATTTGGTCTTTGTTAAAATGTATTGCAATGTGATGCATATTCTGGATGTACGTATGAGCATGTGTTTGTGTGAGTGATGCAGGCTGTGTGTCTGCATCAAATCATTATATACCTAGGACTATAGGATTATGATGCTAGGACTAAGCCATGGACTTAGCTATATGAGTGGAGTCAGATGTTTCTTCTACTGCTCTGATTTGTGAGAGGCAACAAAAGGCTCACTTAGCTTCCTGACTGGAATATCCCCAAAGACCAAGCTTGCCACAACAGTGGGAGTGGAGAAAGAATTACGTTCCTAATGGACTTACAGATGTGCATGCATTCATTCTGCTTCTCCTTTCTGTTCTAGGAGACCATAGATCAGCTGTCTGCCCAGGTGAAGGGCTTATGGGCAGAGGAGTCTGTCCTCAACAAAAATTATAAGAATATTAAGGTATTATTATGCACAAAGGAAACTATGTAGCTGGAGGAGCTTTTTTTCCCATTTGTCTGTCTAGGATTATGGAAGCTCTAGCTAGTCCTGGGAACAAGAACTAGACAGCCTTCATTTTGTCATTGAAACAAAAAATGAGTACATATACAACTTGGAGAAAAAGCTGCTGAACTTGGAAACAGTGATGGGTTTTCACAGTTGTTCCTAGGAATAAGTAGGGATGCGTATGGGGAAGTGTGATGTCCACCTCAGTGATCACACTTTGCCTTCCAAAACTGAAAGGCCCTATTGACTCAGGACACCACCAATATTATGTAGACAAGGGGTGTTGACCATCAGACATGTGAGTCTAAGACACCCTCCCTGGGGGCCCAGTGCAGCCCTCCAGGTTTTCCACATGGCCAAGCCCCTTCCCTTGGCCAAATCAGGTGCCCTCACCTGTTAAGTCCAGTCTGCAAGAAGAAAACATATGCAGAAGGAAGACAAATAGCCAGGCTTCTGGACTAGCAAGGGATAAATAAATTCTTTACATGCATCTCTATAAAAAGAGAGAAACAGTAGTACATGGGCAAGTGCTTCAACGCTATCACCACATGGGAATATATGGTTTTGTAATGGAACTCCTCTGAAACGACCTTCAAGTAACATTCAGCACTGGTGTGGGGAAGGACTTGTATGAAGCTAACGACACTGAAAACACCCTGTCGGGTTTTCTGAATTCATTTCTCCTGTAGAGACTCTGTGAAACCTTTTGTTTCTGTGGTCTACCTTAGGCCAGTGGTTTTCAACCTTTTTCTAGCTGGGGACTGACAAAAGTAGGAAAATTATATGGGGGACTGCTGAGGCAGAAACAGGAGCTACAATCAGTAGGAATGCCTGGAAGATGGCTGCGCCACTTGCCTTGTCAGATGGGGCAAGACCAGAACCAGGAAGCCTGGGGCCACTTGCACGGCAGACTGAGGAGGCGGCAACAGTATCTATAGATCCACCCTGGAAAGTTAAAAAAATTGAAGAGCCTTGTTCATTTCATCTTGCTTTGTTCGTTTTACTTTGTTCTGTTTCTTTTTTGTGTACTTGTTCATGCTAACAGAATAAAAATAAATAAATAAATGAAGAGCCAACATGGAGAAAGAAAGTAGAAAAAATTAGGGCAGAGAGAGGAAGTGATATATACAGAAGAAGAGAGTTAGAAAGAAAGTAGTGGCATGGCTCTGTATTCACATATTATTACTGCAAGCCAGGTAGAGGAAGTCTGGCAGTGCAGTTTTAATATACAGTGCTGGAATGATACTTGGGGGAGTGGGGATCAGTTGGATACTTGGTAAAGTATCCTCATGTAGAGAAGCCCACAGTTGTGGCATTGCACTGGCACATTAAGTCTTTGAATTCCATCCTTATACTTCATCTATACCAGATTTTACAGTAGTGGTTTCAAGCTGTTTTTCATGGAAATTGTGGGTTCTTAAGCTTGGGGGAAGGGAAAGTTCAATGAGATCTGTACTGACAAGCAGGTTTCCAGGAGAGAAAACTTGTCCAGCACTAAAGAGCTTCTTCTGAATTGTGGAGGGGTCATATGTCTTAATTTAGAAGACAGCCTTCCTTCAAAAGGCATCCTCTATTCCAGGGAGCTCAAACTCGCGGCCTGCGGGCCAATTGCGGCCCGTGGGATGCAATTTTGTGGCCCCCACTTGATATCAAAGTTTAGTGATAGTGTGGCCCGCGCGTTTTTCTCACACGCACCTGTGTGAGTCATTACCCTGGGCGCAATGTTCCCTCTAAGCTGTGCGCCGGGAGGGGCGGGCACGGGGAGGGGCCCTGTGGCCTTCAAAGCGCCGGTGGCGCCCGGGCTGGCCTCCAGGAGCCACGCAGGATGAGCGGCCCACCACCACCACGGTGGTCGGCCTTGGTCACTGACACTGTGCAGCTCGCAATATATGTCCGTGGTGTTGACGACAATTTTGAAGTGATGGAGGAGTTACAGTGATTCCAATGCATGGCCAGACCACCGCTCAGGAGATATTCCGCCAGCTGTGTGGTGCCATTGCAGATGCCGGCTTACTATGGAAGAGTTTTGCTGGAATAATAACCGACGGAGCGCCATCAATGACAGGGAGGAGAAATGGAGTTGTGGCACTTGTTCAAAGAAAATTGGAGGAAGAGGCTGTGGAAGAGGCCATTGCTCTGCACTGCATTATCCACCAGCAGGCCTTTGCAGCAAACGCCTGAAGTTTGACAATGTGATGTCTGACGCTGTGAAATGCATCAGCCATATCAGATCCAGGGGCTTAAAGCACTGGCAGTTCCGCGCCTTTTTAGAGGAAATAGAGTCAGCATATGAGGATGTGCTCTACTACACCGAGGTGCGTTGGCTTAGCAGGGGAAACGTCTTAAGAGGTTTTTTGAGTTGAGAGCAGAGGCGAAAACCTTCATGGAGAAAGACAGGATGGCTGTTCCTGTACTAAGTGGTCCCAAATGGCTCATGGACTTAGCTTTTCTTGTTGACATCACACAGGAGCTGAATGTACTGAACAAGAAATTACAAGGCCAGGGCAGCTTGTCAGTGCTGCCTATGACAATGTCAGCGCATTCTCCACAAAACTTGTGTTATGGAAAGCCCAGCTTTCTCAGACAAACCTCTGCCATTTCCCAGCATGCAAGGCACTCATGGATTCTGGCACACCATTCAGCGGTGAGAAGTATGCTGATGCCACTGTAAAGCTACAGGAAGAATTTGATCACAGGTTTGCAGATTTCAAGACACAGAGCCACTTTTCAAATTTTTGCTGACCACTTCTCCTTCGATGTAGAAGATGCCCACCTCCCCCCCGTGCTTCAAATGGAGCTAATTGACCTGCAGTGCAATTCTGAACTCAAAGCCAAGTTCAGAGAGGTGAGTGGAAAAGCAGGCAAGCTTGGACAATTTTTGAGAGAATTGCCCCTTACCTTTCCTGAGCTTTCCAGGATGTTCAAGCGGACCATGTGCCTTTTTGGAAGCACCTATCTGTGTGAAAAGCTCTTCTCCACCATGAACTGTAATAAGTCAAAGTTCAGGTCCAAACTTACTGATGAGCATCTTCAAGCCATACTGAGGATCTCAGTTGCTTCCTCCCTCAAGCCAAATGTGGCTCAGCTGTGTAAGAGGAAGCGCTGTCAGGTCTCTGGCAGCAAGGAGTAGGAGGAAGTAAGAGAAGCCTATGTTCTGAAGAACCTCATGTTCTGAATTATTATTAGTAAAGATTGAGAAGATTGGATCAGTTGTAC